TTTCAAGGTTTGGGTATCAAATACTGGTCATTTGGATAGCTTTAAAAAACATATTTTGGAAATAAATTAAAAAAAAAATGGGCTTTGGTATCTAAAAAGTAAATTTCTTACTTTACAATTTAAGTGGCAACCCTGTTTAGAAATGCGCTGAAATGAAGACCGTCGTTTTAAGTATAAAACCGCGTATCGTTATTCTGCAAAACCGCTTAACTGACATTTGCTGCCAAAAATTGGATTTACTCACACAAGTTCTTGGCTCAATCCTTATCTATTCGCCTTGAAATATACTAGCCAGAAATGCGATTGCTTTATAAAAAAGAGAACCATTTTGAAATATTAGTGTTTTTACTCTCTAGAAAATAATTTATCCAACCTCACATACGCGGTTTTGCATTTTGTTGATACGCGGTTTTGTACTTAAAACGACGATGTATAGTACACATCTTGAACTTATATGTACTTTGTATACATACAAAAAAATGCTGATTGAAATTAACAAAGTAAAAATTTTTGGACCAAAGCTCTCACCAATACCTTTCATTTGATATCCATATTGCGATGTTTTAGTTAAATTGTGTAGAATCGAAAATAAGTGGCAACCTCACACTAATATCCTAAAAGGCCCTACACACGCACTAATTTATCGGCCAACCAGTTGTCCAACCGCTAGAAATTGGTGGTAAATAAGCCGTGTGTAGGCAAGTTAACAAACCTTCGTCAAGTTGTTCATCAGGTTGGAGAAAAATCAAAAATGTTTGATTTATGAGGCAGATTGGTCAACTTGTTGCTCTGTGTGTAAGATAAATACATAAAAATTACAACCATTCCTAGCATAGCTTAAAGGTTTACCGGTTCTGTGGTTGTTTTTCACAGTTCAAAGGCTCTAACTCAAATGAAATCGTCCATGCGTTTGTAGGGAATTTCGTTATTCAACTGGTTGGCCGATAAATCAATGCGTGTGTAGGGCCTTTAAGGGATAACACTTAATATATGTATAGGGAAAGCATTGTTTAAGAACCTTCTCTTGGTACCCATGAATAGTAATATTGTACCTTTATTTTCTAAACAAAAAAATACATAAATATTCGTTTCAAAATAGTGGGAAGCTCTATTAAAAATATATTTGAATTAGGAATTTTTAAATACCTTCCATTTGATACCCATATGATGATGTTTTAATTAATTTGTAAATAATATCGAATAGGTGGCAACCTTATGCGAGTCCTCTCGAAGATTATACCTAGTATTTAGATAACCTTAAAGTGCAAAACATTATCAGTATGTATACAAATTTCATCAAAATCGTTAGTGCCGTTTCCGAGAATCTTATGGATATACACATGTACGTATACATTTATATACAAGAATTGCTCGTTTAATGTAATAACACTAAGCAACTATTTACTTTGTGAATATTTATACTCAAAATGTATGACAATTTTCGAGAGAAACAAAGTAAAAAGTACTTTAATACAACTTTATCTATTAAAATAATTTATCCTTTAAATTATACTTAAAATACTTTTGTCACACTTCATAAACCTACCTTTTCATACTTACATAAAAATGTACATGTAGTATGTATGTACGTTTGCAATTTGCACCGGACTGCGTATTTATACATACCCAGTAGGAATTGGGAGCACGTAATACATAATTACTTACCAGCACTTACTCTTCACCACTTCCCAGCGAAAGTTCCCTTACGTTACCAAAGATATAGCCGCGTTATGGAAGTAGGAACTTAGAATGTACATTTGGTATCAAACATAAGGTACGTTGAATGTAAAGCATCTTCGGCGGCACATTATTTTAAAATTTACAACGTAAGGCGCCATCGGAGGTGTTCATTCTGTGCTTTGCCATTAAGTGGCATTAGTCATGATAACAATTTTGTTACGAAAAGCTGAAAAAACATGAATTACCTCGTAAGATGCTTACCTATTTTCTCAGTGGGTACATACATATTTATGTACGTATGTAAGTAGTATGTGGTATATCATTCCTTCTTTTTTCATTGTTGATAACAGGTTTCTAAGAATTTCTTCTGCATTACAAATCTGCGAATAAAAACTGTTATTCAATTACATTAAGCGGATTACGCGATGGGCGTACTTGCTTTTTGCATGCATAGTTGTTGTTGCTATTAAGCACGTATGTATGTTTGTCACAAAATTGTCGTGTTTGTGCAGCACGCAATAAAACCGATGGAGATTGATTACCTTCACATGTACATATGTACATACAAACATATGTAAATAATTGCCCTAAGTAGCAGCAGTTCATTGATCTTAGCAATGACTTTTCACTTCGTGAAGTACATAACCCATTGACGATAAAGTATTTTTTTTAATTAACCGCCTTAAGATGTATGACAGTAGCAGGAAGCAGAAAGTTTTTCTTTGAGATTTTCACACAATCTAAGCAGCAAATCTATTTTAACGATTTTATTTCCATCTCCAGTTAGTAAATTTTAATAAAAAATTAAATAAACCCCTCCCTATAATGCTATTCTAATATTTAAACTGCAAATTGTTTCCCTAGTAGGCATATAAAAATAGTTGGGCTTGCTACATATAACAATAAAATATTAACACAGGCTAAATACAAACAATACAGTCATTAAAAATTTAAATACATAAACACATATGCATATGTAAACGGAATTTTTTTTGTGGAAGTGATACTAAAAAATTGTCGATTCGTACCAGAACAAGATTATGCGTTAACAAACGCTATGTGGATAAGAACAGTACAAAAACTAAAATCTAAAACTATTAACCCATTCAATTATATATTTATCAATTATTTTTTTTTTATATTCTAAGCGTCAGGTAACTCTGCATCCAGTTTTGGAAGTCGTAGTCTTTTGTCGGTCACATTAACTTCAATCTTTTCAACATCTCCAGCCGCTTGCGTTCTGCAAAAAAAAAAATTAATTAATTACTTATTTAACTAAAATGTTTCTAATTTTTTACTCACATCGCCTTTAAAACATGCAATTTGGGTATATTTTTTGTATAAGCTTTTACGCCTGCAGCCTCCTGCTCTGCAAGTTCCTTTGGATGCAAATGCTTTTTGTGATAACGACAACTTGAACCAGTTGAAAAAGTTTTATCACAGAAGTCACAGGAATAAGGTTTCAGACCAGTATGCGTAATAAGATGGTTTTTTAGATTTTTTGTTCGCTTAAATCTGCGCCCGCAATAATTACATTTGTATGGCATTTCATCAGAGTGCACTTTCATGTGATTCAACAGTGCCTTTGATGTACTCAGCTCAATTCCACATTCGCCACAGATATGTTTATCGCCATGGATTTCCAAGTGTCTCTATATGAAAAAAATTAACCCGTTTCTTCAATCCCCAATATATGTATTATAAATTAACTTACCTTCAAAGTCTGTTTTCTTTTGAAATGTTTGCCACATTCTTTGCATTCATATGCACCTTGGCCCGTATGTGTGGCCATATGTTCGATAATCTTATGTTTAGTGCGCATACTTTCACCGCATTCTTCACAAATGAATGAACCTACGCCTTCGTGCTCAGCTTTTATGTGATTCTCCGCGACTTTGGCTCCTTTAAATGTTCTATCACAATGTGGACATGGATAAATTTTTGGTGCATGCATTCTTTTTATATGGCGTTCCAGCTCTTTCTTAAACTTCAACGATTCACTACAGTGCGGACATCTCCATACTGCTGGCGCTTCCGTGCCGTGCTTGCGCCTCATGTGGCGTGCAAAGTTTCTGCTTTGTATAAAACGTTGTTGGCAAATGTTACAAGAATATGTGCCTTCTTTGGACTCTTCGCCGTCAAGCGAATTTGAATTTTTACTATTTTTACGCACTTTCTTTGATATAACTTGTTCTTCAAAATCTTCGGTGTCAGATGAAAAGCTACCGCTACTGCTGCTGCTGTCACTGCCTTCGTTCATCTGGGCGCATTCCCCCACACTCTGGTTACCTCTATTGACTGTATCAGAAAGTTCTACCTTGATTTCAGTGGCTTGCACTAAATCTTTTGCTTCCTCTTCTTCCATATCTTCATCTCCACCGTCAGTGACTGATGCATCAGCAATAAAAACTTGTTCAATGTCCGGGGTAGTTGTTGACGTTTCCATATCATGAATTAAGAGGGGTTTAAACGGTTTCCATTCAAATAGCCCGTATTTGTGATATAGCTCTTTAAAAGCAATTTCGCCGGTATCACTTGTGTTTATCAAATCATGGTACATTTTTTGCACTTTTCTCACATGCTCAGCATATTTCTCCAGCGATGAAAGCGTAGCGTAGCATTCCGTACATAGCAGGAGAGGTTGTTCATCCTTGGGCTTTACCTATACGAGTAAAGGATAACGATAAAAAAATATTTGCACTCATTCATTTAGTAAAAGAAAAAAACACGTACATTGATATGAAAGTATTCTTCTACAGCTAGAGGAATATTGATATTCGAATCCAGAGCCAATGGCGTTTCTTCAGTGAATATATCGAGGTAATTGCCATCATGTTTCGCGCAAAGGCGACACCAACGCTGCCATTCCTTTATTGTTGCGTCCATTGTGCACATTTCAGCCTTTCGCAGCCTCGGAGTACGAATTTGTAGGAAAATATGTGGTATAATTTGATTTTTATTAAAAGTTGTTAACTTTTTATTTATATATCCGTCAATTCTTTGTTTACTTCTTCAATTTCCTCGGCTGTCATTGCCGTTTAATTCCTAAAACATCGCGATTTTATACTACGTTTACACGCTACCTTCTAACAAGGGATTATTTCCAAATCAAATGTAGAACGTTTCGTCAATTTATGGGCTGTTTTTGCTTACGCGTAAAAGCACATTTAGCGCATTTAGCTCTAAATGCTACTCTAAATGTACATTTATCCATACAAAATTCGTCACCTAAATGCAACTAAATGCAACTCCATTTTTGCATTTAGAATCTAAATGCTAAAAGCAACCCTGTGAT